GTTTAACGCAGCAGCAGTCTGATCCCGATCAGTGCTCTTTGTTCGCGCCTTCGACGTCAGAAAATATTTTCTTCATCGCGATTTCAGTCACATCTTACACGAATTTCAGATTCGCCTCGAGTTATTTCGACGTTTTTATTCAAGGGAACCAGGTGCTCACGGACTTCGAAAACTTTGAAGAACAAAAAATACTTTTGGTTGCGTGCTTATGTTCGCCATTTGTTTAAGCATAAAACTGTTTTCGACTTTTAAATACCGATACGAATCAGGGTTAAGAGTTAAAGCGTCGACTGTGTCGAAATTATTGTGCTTTTAGTAGCGATCGTATATTTTCGTACGACGTTAAGTACCCATGTTACTGTTCCTCAAATCGCAACGATCTATATTTACAAATCTCTTGCTTCAGCAGAATTTATAAATCCTACAACGCTATATACATATACAACTTTGCTGGAGTTGAGTAAAGAAAAGAGACAATAAAATGTAATTATTACTAACAACGAAATTCAATAATCATTACAGCCAAATCCTAATTACAAATCCAATACAATTCTCATATTTCCTCGTACTGTTCTTACTTGGTTATAAAATAAAATTATTCGATGCACGTATATCCAAGTTGCAGGAATAAAAATACCAAGCTTTACATTTTCTTTTGACGCTGAATTCGTGTTTCCCAGCAATCGTTACTCAGCACTTAAACTTCTCGAAAATCGTATAAAAATAGAAAAACAATCGCTTCTTCGTATTACAATATCTTCTTGAAACTTCTAGCTTGTTTGTATAATAATCTTACAAATATACCAATCTGATATTGAAGCAGCCGCCCAACTTATCTGAGTGGTGAAAATAATAACAAATAAGAATATGAGAAAACGGAGACATTTTTATCGAACATTCTTGTTTCGCAAATTTTTAATTGTTCTTAATGGAAAATTAATGTCTTGCTATCTTCGAGCGATCGACGTGACTGATAAATTGTTGAAAGCTTCCCGCTGTACGATTTACCGGTAATCTCCGAGTGTTAAATACGGTGTTGAACGCGCGTATATAAGCGGCGATAAACTGATAAGCAACCTCCCCGAAAATATTTTAAGGCAACACAAATCCGACGCGATAAATAAAAGTAAAGCTTGAATAATAAATTTAAAGCTCCATAAACCACAAATCTGTGATAATGTACGAGTCCACCCTAATGTTAAAACTAATAAAAAGTTCCGACTTTGTCAGCTTGACTAATTTCATTATTCGTACAACTTATTTACAATATTGTGTCCCCATTCCCTACTGTGAAAAGACAATAATTCAGTTGTACCGAGTTATTTCAATTTTGTTACAACCATCCTGCTCTTTCAGTATGACCCTCAGATATTTTTTTACGTAACTGGGTTTTGCAAACAACTGCTCGTTCCGAGAGAATTTTATTCGCAAGCATGCATGATGATGAATGATTCGACGAGTGATTGTGTTCAGAAGAGTCTGCGAATTGATCTTGGGAAATCTCGATTCAAAGTTATTCTTTAACCCATTCAATTCAGAGTCCTTGCGCCGAACAGTATGACAAATAAAAAATCTATTTGAATAAAAAAAACTCTTGGAACCGACTAATATAAAAATTGAATGTGGGGTTTACTAATTAGAATACCTATCTCCATGCCAATCTTGTGCTTCATTTGAAATATATGCCATAGTTTAAGTTATCATATCTCTGCGTGGATCTCAAGCACGACATATGTATGTACATTTACATTAGATTATCTGCCGCCTGATAGAATTAATATGAACGACATGAAATGATCAGGTTGGAAATTGTTTCCATAGCAGTAATAAATGCAGAGGCAGAGTTATAATCCAAGATTTGAATCAAGCCTTCCGGCTTCTGCGTGTCTATGTATGAGAGTACGTGTGTTCAACTGTTTTATTTTAAACGAATAGCGTCATTCGTTGTATAATAACGATATTCCTACTTTGTTGGCTAACATCGCGGCAAGGCTCCAGACAGGCGAATCAAATTTATTTACTGGTCAGACGATCAATAAAATGTTGAACTTTTTACTCATCCATCGAAATGATTAAAACAGAGACCAATTGCACTTCTGTTAAGAATGGTTTATAAAACGTGACGTAGACGAAAATGTTGTAATCCGAAAATGTCATCCGAAAGGTTTAAGTGTGTAAAACCGTAATTTAAACCAAGGAGGAGCTATGGATCAAAATATTCTGCAGATTATTGCGTCTCCTCATTAATAATATTCAACGAACGACCTATCATCGATATTTTTGCCTAAGCACTAGACAAATTCTCAAAAGCCGATCTACAACTTGATCAATGCATCAGCAGAGACTCAATTATGTTTGATCAGATGTCCAAATGTGATAAGCAAATTTCTCTAATTTACTTCTGCAACTCAATGAACTATTTAATGATTTGATTTGCAAATTTAATAGAGTGTTACGCAACTATGAAAGACCATCACCAATTTTTTATCAGATAACCTTTTATTTCTTCTTTCGTGCGGTGTTCTAAAACCAGCGACCTTGCAAAATAAAAGATCTAGCCAGTTTTCCGGCACCAATGGGATAATGAATTCCAAGTAAAAGTAGACGCATACGCATTCTTTCGGATGCACTTAATGCATGCTGCAAGAATGAATAATTTATGATCGGAGATGAGGATAATCGTTTCACGCCTTTTTCTACCGCGATACGTGATTTACTGCCTAGTGGTAGGAATTTCGAGTCGCTGTTTACTCCTCTCAGAACAAAGACTCGATAAATCGGAATTCATACCAGTTCTATTCTACGTATTTATTGTGCACGGTCAGGAAAAAATAAACTAAAGAGTTATAGTTGAAAGGCGAATTTATGACAATTGCAAATCCACTCATAAATCTGCTTGGCAAAAATTTACTAGCTACAGCTAGCAAATATTCAGAATAATAAAAATAACAACTGAACAGACAGAATAAAATTCTTTCAAGCAAACAAATCAAAAAGCAATATTTTTTAATATATCCAAAACTCATAAATCATTCTATTAAAATGCAAATAGAATCCAAAAATTTGACTAACTATAACAGGCAGCGACTTAAATATTTTAAATAGACGCAGTGATCAGGTTTTTCAGATCCTCGTGCACTCGGCTCACTTTTATCAAAAAAACAGAAGTGAGGAGACGATGATATTTGGCTGAATCTGTTTGCATTCTTCTGAACAGAGGCGAAGGTCGGCGGGAATGAGTCTGAAGCGAAACTAGAAACTATTCATGCAAATTCGACGGCGGATCAATGCCACCAGAAGGAGGCGTCGCGATTCCTAATAAAAATTCAGACACTTTCTTCTACTGGAAACTTACAGCGTCGCACGAATTCCGTATGCACGCGATTATGCATGCACACACATACATATCAATGTGCATGACTAAATGCACTCTGAGCAATTTATTCTTATCGCGTATAATAATGCGAACAACAACGACAAATACTTGACGTCCATTTTTTTCAACCGTTTACAGATAACTACCTTTTGAATTTGCCTAAGCTCGAAGAAAATGAGCGGCAGAAGGTATTAACAAAGAAAGGCCTGGTCTTGCTAATGCCCGATTAAAAATCAAATTTTACAACGATTATCAAACTTATCTTTAGCAATATAAATGTTTTTCAATAACAATTATGACAAACACAAAGCATCGTGAATAGGTGAAGATAATTTTGGAAACTGCGTAGCATCCTTACATCTCTCAGCAGATCGTCTAAATTTCCATGATCTATTATAGTCGAAATGAAAATAACTAAATCATGCCAGTCCATTGTAGTTATGATAAAACTTGAATAAATCCATAAGGAAACGAAAGATCCCGAGACAGTTATTAACTGAAGAAAAATCTCAAGGTTGATCATTTTATCAAGACGTTAATAATAGTGATTTGTTGGCGGTGAAAGTAGCAGGAACGCTTACACTTGATTACTTAAATAATTATTGGCTGTAACGTTTTCAAGATGATCGCGTAAAATAAATTGCGGTACCGATTCGTTCTGAAACGTGGAATTTCAGGTAAAAAGAGAATACGGACCGGAGACAACCGGGGAATTAATTAATCGCGGGGAAATAGGCGGTCGCGAATAAACGTACCGTAATAATGGCGTTCTCGATGATTAAGGCCGACCCAGTCAGAGGCGAAGGTATGCAGAGAAAGTAGGAACCCCCCTCCGTATACGCCTATGTCCGGTCGTTGCACCGCGCCATACTTCTTTTATTTTTCAACTTTTATCCTCGTCTCAACAACAATTCATTTTTGCATTACATTTTTAATTAAACTGATACAGAAAATATACTAACACTTCCTTGAGAAATTAATTAAAGTTCCACCAAAATTAGAATTTGAAACGAACGTTATCATACGTTCTTAATTAACCGTGGTTTACGACCGAACCCTTTAACGCTCTGCGCATGATACGGAACGAATTATTTATAGACTCGACAGTTTCTTTTTAAAGGCGGCCACTGCCGGGTACCGACGACGGATCGTACGTATGATTGCGCTAGTTAGACGTTAACCTTGCCTCTAACTGCAATAAGTATTGCACACTTCCGGCTGGTCATTCATGTGACTCGAGTTCGCGATTCGTACACGCGCTTGCATGCAGCGAGTACCTGCAGCTTCGTTCTTAATTGTTGTTTACCAATTTGATTGCTCACTTTCGACGGGGTCAGGTCTACGCTGCAATTAACAATGCCGTGCTAATTGCAATATTTGAACCCGAGTCATTTCTCAACGTTTAATGGCCTTCGATAGAAATCTGGTTAATTGTTCAAATAATAAAATGTAATACAATCAAGTTTTTATTATTTGTTCCATTACGCGCGTTTATTAATGTAAATTGCATTCACATTTCAACACAGAAATATGTACTTTATTTTTTTATGATTTTTCGCAGGAAGAATATCAAAATAAACGAGGAGGGAATGATTAGGAAATTTTTGTATGACTATGAACTTACCTTTTGCCCATCCAGTGAGGACGTTGCCGAGATAGGCGACCTTGTAGCAAGGATCGTACTCGGTGATTGATGCATTGCCCCGATGCCTCCTCCAAAGTCTGCCTAGTCCTCTCTTCAAAGACCTAAACGTCTTCTGACCGAACTCTTTGCCACTCGTGTTCTGAACAGAATTGTCGTTCTGTTCTTCGACAGGATCCGCGACCACGTCCCCCATCGTTTTCATGATTCTCTCTTCGACACTTTAATATATTCGCACTGTCTATACGTACATCACATGTAAAAACACGATTCGGAATAAAAATCGTCTACACGGTAAATACTAGCGGTCAATCGGCTACATGGCGCGACTTCCGGTGAACGCGAACAAGGATCGTGGCGACCTTTCAGGGTCCCGAATGCTGAAGTTATCCAACCAGGTGGATGAGCTCTATCGAGGTCGCGACCGGTGCCGGTGATCGAGAGAGGTTGTGAAACTCGAATAAATCCCGGCGAGTTGCCCGACGACTACTATACGGCGGCGGCAATGCTTGCCGTGTACTTCTCTCCACACCTCAAGGCCGACCTCTCGGAGTTATTCTCACGTACGAAGGAAGATCGGCGTTTCTCACGAAAAACCTTCCGGAACCTCCTTCCGCGGCTTCACGCTGCCTTCTCTGCGAACAAAATCAAACGTACTTGTCAGTCAACAATCCCCGATTCGTCGTTACTTGCGTTCTTAATAAAAAATGATGAAATCCGGAGTGAGAGATCGAGAATCGCAAGCTGCTCTGACGGCGGAAGCTATTTTTAACATTCTTTGACCTCCCAAAGTGTAGGGAAACCCGTGACCTAATATTCGTTTATACGAGCCGAGTCAATGAGAATTATTTCAAATGAACAATTATTTACTGATTTGATTAAAAGAAACTTTCTGTGGACTTAGACAGTAATCATTGACTGTATCGTACTAAACCGTAATTAAAAGGTTTTGTGAAACGAATGAATAAAAAACAGATAATTTGAAATGGATTACTGGAAAAAGTTGAACATTATAGCATCGTAAGAACTATAACGGTAATTATATCTGTACGACGGTGTTTGATCATTTTTGTGGAACACGGGAGCCAGTTGTAAGCATCCACACACTCGCGACAGGTTAAGCGAACAGGTGCGAAACCGGTACGTGTACACGTTCGGAAAATACGCTTACAATATATTAGAAAGCATGGTGATGTGAGTTACAGTAAACATAATTCTCCTGTACCGTAACTCGGCGAAAGAAGTGAGTGCATTATAGTTCAACAATTCTAGAAGATCTAAGATCACATTCCAACTATTAATATAAAGAATCTGCTGATCATTCGTATAACGTCGATTGAAGCTGTACGAAGAAAAAAATTTAGTAGCATTTCAAATTGCCTTTATAAATAACTAAAATTGAGGAAAACGCATCAGGAAAGTCTTGCTTTATTTAAAAAAAGACACGTGAGTTTATCTTACTGTCAACAACAGTCAGTTAGTTAACAGGACAAAAGTATAAATTTCCATGAACAGAATTTTGCGTCGAAACATTAGCTATCGATTTCCCAGGCACATGGAACACGGCAGATAAGCACGTGCAAAGCGCGCATCGGTAAAACGTGTCACACCGTGTTTTTCCACAAAAAACTTACAGGGAAAAAGATGACAGGACGAAGCTACTAAGGAACAAGGTTGCAATTGAAATGACCTTTGCAATAGATCAATCATTCAATTTAATCAATTACTCAATTGATTCATCGCATCATTTCATCGAATATAGTACCGGGTTCGCTTCATCGAACATTTTCATTTTGTTGTGCAACATGGATTTAAAAACGACAACGAAAAATACTGATATTGTCAAATGCAATAGATTGATTCCACAGTCTAGCGAACGGCAACCGTGTGTATACGTAATTTGCGCGTAACACGAAGAGAGAAAGACACGGTGAAAGTATAATTTAACGCACCGCTGAATGTGTACACATCGAAAGCAACCCACTATTGTTTAAAGAAAATACCTCCAATTTATTGAATTGCAAACGGGTACGATAAAAAAGTTCCATTACCTTTGATAGGAGTTTTGTAAAGCTTTTTCACTCACAGAACGATTTACGTATATAAAATCTGAGATAATTTATAAACTTGTGTGTAACTAAAAGGATTACAAGGATGAACGAGAATAAACGTAGAAGCTGGTGCACGGTTTGCTGAATTTTGAGCCCAAGGCTCCTACAGTCTTGCACTTCGTAGACTGAACCAATGTCTTTTTTTTGCCCATTTAATTTATCTTACCGGAAGTTACAACTTTCGACGGAAGTCTTGCGGTCAGTCTACTACGGAACGTTGCCTAATAATCAGGAGTATACGCACAGACTAAGTTTTCCTTAAAATTCGTTTCTCTGATAAAAATCTAAATATCTTCAGATTTATTTATGTGTTTTTATCATTGAAATACAATTTCCGCTGGGTTTTTATATTTCATGCGTATTTAATTTTTCTATAAATGCACAAAATGAGTTCATGAGTGTAATTAAGAATGTTGATTAATTCGAAGAAATCGTTTAGAAGATCTTGGAATGTTTCCCGATAGATTTCTGAGATCTCGTTAAAAATTTCATTGGATTACAAAAGTAAAGGCAATGAAAATCGCTCGAGAATTGTAAAGCGAAACATAATTTTCGCTTAATGCTGGGCAAAAAGAACTGGCAGGTATATGGAACAAAAATAGAACGCCATGCATTACCATACGACTGATTACATAACGTTGTTTCACCACTGCACCACTTTACAATACGTAATTACCGAGCATATCATGGATAAATCCTCTGAAATAACGGAACATCGCATTTCTGAATACAAAATCAATATCAGCAACAATGGAATGCAAATCACTAATCGTATTCGTATTAAGTTTGCTCTATTAACTCTCATCGGATAGCATGTACGTGGCGTGCATTTCTGAATAATGCAAACTGTTAACTGTATTCATATTACAATTAGATTTATTCTGTTAACAGGGAACTATGTATATAAACCTGCTAAATTGTTAGTTAGATTTTTATGCATTTATAACAGAAATGACTGTGCTATTTAAACAATGTAGAAAATGATGAAGTGACATATAATGAAATGATATATAATGAGTAAAAAATGTTTTGTTTTGCAGAGAAATTAGCGATCTACTGATAATACTTTGGAATATTTTATCAATTGAGATTAAACGTACCCTATTAATTTACATGTACTCAGCGGATGATTAATTAACAGCGATTCGATAACTGTTCAATGTAGAATTAGGTTCCTTCCATTAGCTCTTAATTACCGCGATGTTCCTAACATGAAGTGCGTTTTCTTACATAACAACGAGGGATCCAAGCAATTTAGCGTGAATATTCATAATAGAGCGATAAAAAAAAGTTTAAAAACACGCGCTGTCGATCAAAGATGTGTCGAAGATATTTCCGTGCGAATGCACATTCGAGAAATAAGTTTATGACATAACTAGGAGAATAGAATGAAAGACATATGAATAATGTTAATCATGGTTACAATACTTATTCAGTTGATAAAGTCCGCAGATTAGATTTTCAAACTTGCAGAGAATGCATCGCACTTTACAAAGCAATTATGGAATTGTCAAAATACTAACGGTTCGAATTCAACGTTAAATTCAAGTCCAAATGGAACAATGACAATAGAAATTTATAAAAAATTAGTAATATCGGTGAAACAGGCAAGATGCATATACATCGTGCAAACCTCGGCAAAATAAAATAAAAAATAAAGACGAACCTCGATGGAATTGAAACGAATTTCAAATCATTCAATTAGGAGTTGACAAGTTCACCAACCGTTCACGACAGCGTTTAACTCTCAATTGTGTACGATAAAAGTGGCACCACCAACTTATCAAATAAAAATAATCACTGCAATTGTTTATCTTATCATCAATAATCAAAAGCTTATCTTCCTGTCTGTAGAAATTCAACTCTTCATAAACGAAGTACATAGTATTATACATATGTATTGAACTAATGTAGTTACTTTGAATTTATTGGTCGCCTAATTTACTACTTGCATATCAACAATAACGTAAGCACGTCACGAAAGATATGCTTAGTTATTATGTCGTAGAACAGTTTAGTGCTAATTACACCATCGTTAGTGGCCTGAAACGTGCACGTGAATACTCGAACGTGTGTCGTGCCAAAACGTAAGAGGCTGCCTGTTGGATTCAACAAAAAAGAAATATGAGACAGACCTATTAAATTGATGTTCCTGAATCTGTCAGTTCACTCAAAGGTGGTATTGGGTCATACAATAATTTATGCATAATTGCGCGTGATTGAATGTTACGTATGTTTCGTAATACAGTAATAGGATAACGATTGTACAGTAAAAAAAGAGTTCCATGAACTTCTACGAAGTTCTGCTCGAGCAGGATTTGATTACATTCTATTAAAATTCAATTTTAATATCGTGGTAGTAATTTGACATATAATGAAATGATATATAATGAGTAAAAAATGTTTTGTTTTGCAGAGAAATTAGCGATCTACTGATAATACTTTGGAATATTTTATCAATTGAGATTAAACGTACCCTATTAATTTACATGTACTCAGCGGATGATTAATTAACAGCGATTCGATAACTGTTCAATGTAGAATTAGGTTCCTTCCATTAGCTCTTAATTACCGCGATGTTCCTAACATGAAGTGCGTTTTCTTACATAACAACGAGGGATCCAAGCAATTTAGCGTGAATATTCATAATAGAGCGATAAAAAAAAGTTTAAAAACACGCGCTGTCGATCAAAGATGTGTCGAAGATATTTCCGTGCGAATGCACATTCGAGAAATAAGTTTATGACATAACTAGGAGAATAGAATGAAAGACATATGAATAATGTTAATCATGGTTACAATACTTATTCAGTTGATAAAGTCCGCAGATTAGATTTTCAAACTTGCAGAGAATGCATCGCACTTTACAAAGCAATTATGGAATTGTCAAAATACTAACGGTTCGAATTCAACGTTAAATTCAAGTCCAAATGGAACAATGACAATAGAAATTTATAAAAAATTAGTAATATCGGTGAAACAGGCAAGATGCATATACATCGTGCAAACCTCGGCAAAATAAAATAAAAAATAAAGACGAACCTCGATGGAATTGAAACGAATTTCAAATCATTCAATTAGGAGTTGACAAGTTCACCAACCGTTCACGACAGCGTTTAACTCTCAATTGTGTACGATAAAAGTGGCACCACCAACTTATCAAATAAAAATAATCACTGCAATTGTTTATCTTATCATCAATAATCAAAAGCTTATCTTCCTGTCTGTAGAAATTCAACTCTTCATAAACGAAGTACATAGTATTATACATATGTATTGAACTAATGTAGTTACTTTGAATTTATTGGTCGCCTAATTTACTACTTGCATATCAACAATAACGTAAGCACGTCACGAAAGATATGCTTAGTTATTATGTCGTAGAACAGTTTAGTGCTAATTACACCATCGTTAGTGGCCTGAAACGTGCACGTGAATACTCGAACGTGTGTCGTGCCAAAACGTAAGAGGCTGCCTGTTGGATTCAACAAAAAAGAAATATGAGACAGACCTATTAAATTGAT